TGAAGATGGTACTAATATCATAATTGTACCAAATTCATTACCCAAATATATCTACAACATAATAAAACATCCAAAATCATTTCAAAATCAATATCAAATTATTTGGTGCAAGTGGACAAAGGATGGTTTTCAATATTTCTATCCACAACTCCCTTAAATATATAATAATTTTCCTTTATCTCTTTGTACCAATCTACTTTTCTATCCAAAATGCATTAATTTACCTTCCAGAACCTCAAATACAATACTTTCTTGGTACAAGGACGAATTTGTACCATCTTTGACTCATTCTTTGCACCAGCTTTTACATACTAATTGAACACACCCATACTATAAATATCTGAGTAAGATACTTGACTAGAATTTGCAATTGAACTAATTTGATTAATAACAAAAAAATGAGTGTATTTGGCGCATCTAATTAAGAATACAATGATTACAGCTAAAACTCTTCAAGAATTGCAACCAGTTAAAGTATATTTATTGAGATATTTTGCTCATGCTGATGTGGGATGTATATAGATGGATGCCAAGAACTCAAACTGTTAATCATTATAATAAAGGAGATGCTTATGAATTCCTTATTCCATGTGGTACTAAAAAGTTTACTAATGAAGTGATAAATGAATTTAGTTTTCTATCATGGTTTTTAAATAAGACTCCATTCTTTGCCCTTAAAGTTAATACAACTCATCCTCATGTCCATCAAGCTCCAGATGGTGAGTATTATATTAATCAATTTCCCGGATTTCTTCATCCTAATCCACCCATTCTATCAATTTAACAAGAAATCCAGGATCAGGTAAAGTTATTTCTTAACCATATGAGAGAAGTCCTTTGTTCTTCTGATAAAAAGCAAGAACTATATGATGGGATTAATTTCATGAATAGCTACTGGCCAAAAATGCAAAAAATCAATGTTTCTTTATTCAGGTGCAGGAAAATGCTTACATGGTTTCTCCAAGAAATGGTTCTTGGCCCCAAAATTACCCATAAAACTACTAATGAAAGAATTATTACCAGACAATTTAATAAAGAATTGAAAGGTAAAGTTTTACTTGTTTTTGAAGAAATGTCTAACTCAAAATCTGGTGACTGGATAGCATTTGCAAATCAACTTAAAGACTTTATTGATAGTGATACCTTAATGATAGAAGAAAAACACAATACTTCATATCCAGTTACTAATGTTACAAATCTAATTATTAGTAGCAATAATAGTAAACAATTTGTTTAGATAAAGATGACTGAAGATATTTCATTCCAGATGTTTTATTATGTTGTAGATATATTTGGGTAATGAATTTGGTACAATTATGATATTAGTACCATCTTCATACCACTTGTACCATAGGATGGATATGTGAAATTACTATGTGGCCTGAAATCAATTTGATATGTGAATTCCTGGAGGAAATCATCTAATAAGAAATTGGTTTTTATTTTAATTCATATTTAATATAAATAATAATAATAATTTTACCAACTATTATCATTTAAGGCAATGAAGATCCTTGATTTATACCAAGTTATTGACATTTCATGATGTTAGATGAGGATCTGAGAAAAAACATCACAGCTTATACCATCTCTGCTAAAAACATATTTGCCAGAATTTGAGAAGAAAGTTAATTTAACAATATAAAAACAAAGATACTTTTGTTTGTCCAAACTATATATATTTTATTAATTAAATTTATTCAGTAAATCCTCAGTCATTTACCTGAACTTTATCCATTTTTTATGAAAAATAGAACTATAGATTCTGTAAATATGGTACACTTATTAATATTGCAAGCATGCAATCTGAGTTTCTTATTTAATATAGAGGTTGGAATTGTCCAAAAAATCCTTAGTCAACTACTAGTTGGTCAAAATTTCTTTTAGTTGACTGTTTAGTCGATTATTTTTAGTTGACTATTTAGTCAACTAAATTTTTTTAATACTAGTGTGTAACCATTTGCTTTGCAAAATGGTCACACACTAGTCACGGGAATAACATCCTATTTAATTAGAATATTCATTCTGTTTCATTATTATTAATGTTTTTTTTTAATTTGCAGATTACAAATTCATCTCCATTTGAATCTTTAATTTTCTTGAAATACTTCCATAAGAGGCTATATGTTATAATTCGTTTTTTTAAAGGTCTGGAACCACTGCTTGAGCTCAAAGCCAATGAATTGTTGGAATGATTTGACCTTGTATCAACGTTTATTATTTTGCATGGATAATTATTGCCAACACCAGCACCAACACCACCATTATCATCTTCTTCATAATATTGATACTCTGCATATTTATTTTTATTATTTTCCATTATTTTATTTTTAAATTTTTTTGTGCCACAAAAAACGTTTTCATTTATAATTGGCCAGACAATAATAATAATTAGTATTAGTTGACTAAAATAGTCGACTAAATAATAGACTAAAATAGTCAACTAAATAAACAACTAAAAGTAGTTGACTATTTAGTTGACTAAATTACATCAGGAAATTAATTTAGCGTAAACTTGCATAAATCTTACGATGCCAATGTAATATTGTGTAAATCTTACAGTGCTGACGTAAGTTTTACACTTTTTTATTATTAAACTTACAATTGACACCTGTAAATTTTTTTTATATTTTCCAGATGTAGTTGACTATTAGTTGTTTAAAAAAAAGTTAGTTGACTAAATTAGTCATCTATTTTAGTCGATTCCAACCTCTATCATAAACTATTGATAAATGTGCTAGATTTTTACAACATTGTGCAATGAATTGAAGTAGTTCTTTCAAAAGTTTACTACCACCCTCTGAATGTCATCAAGATCTAAATATTTAAGATTTTTTCCATTGTTGTTAAAAAAATCAAACAGGTGGTCTGATGTAAATGATCATTTGTGAATATACAGTATAATGTCACAGATTCAAGACTTGGCAGCAAAGTATCTTTCAAATATTTTGTATTAATGTCAGTATATACTAACAATAAAGTCTTTAAATTGCATAGAATTGGTAATATATCAAATGCTCCACTGCTTTAATAAGATGTTATTGATTGTGAATGTGAGTGTATTGCTTGTCTGAAATTATCTGATAAAGTTTGATTAGTGTGTAACTGAATGGTTAGTTTCTTTATTTGATTTTGTGCTTTAATTAATTGAGCCAGACTATCTTCAAATTTATCATTGTATCTATCATGATTTATTCTTAATGTATGAATATATTTGCAAGTATTTGCCAATTTACCAATAAATTCAATACTAAAGACTAGTGCCATAAATTATGATGATGGTAGTAATTGTATTTATGGCATATAAAAAGTAGTTGCAATTACCTTTGCAACCACCTTTGCAATCATACTTTGAAAAGTGAAGCTTAGTACAAAATTATCCAATAGTGGTTTCTCCAATAGGTTAAAAGTTAATTTAATATGATTTCTAGTTAAGAGATCCTTTTCTTCTTCTTCCAATAACCAATTGATGATTATTTTAATGGTGTCAAGACAATAACATGGATTTCTCCATAAATTTGGAATGTTGATATTGTGCCATTGTTTATTGATGAGAATGCAAGAATATAATGTTTTATAGTCATTTTCATTATATTTAGATATTCCAGCCAAAAGTTCAGGTGGTGATAACCACTACCACCATTCTTACGATAAACACTTACTCTCTTACAGTACCAAATTTATTTGCTTGTTTACTTTTTTTAATCTGTTTTGCTTTTGGCATTTTTTTATAAAAAGAAAAGAAATAAAATAATTGTTGATCGACAGCGCGTATATACACCTATATTTTTTTTTTGACACGATTGATTTTTTCTAATTTTAAAAAATGACATCAATCATCAACGTTTATTATTTTGCATGGATAATTATTGCCAACACCAGCACCAACACCACCATTATCATCTTCTTCATAAT